TATATACACACATATATTATTGTCACTTATTATCGTGATAAAACCTAGAAGTTATCGTAATAAATTTTTAGTCCATATCGCCCATCCCTAGTAGTTACATTTTTATAATGTTAATTCATGCAAAGCAATAATCATCCACAGTTCAGTACAAATGCATGTACCTAGAATATTTTCACAAAAGTAAAATAAGAATATTAATTTTTGAAGCTCAGCTGCAACCTTAATTAAAGAAGGAAAAAACAGAATGAAAATATTATGCAGAGATATAAAAAACATAATATTAATAATTAGGGCTGACTTGTTACTTGTGAAAAATGAACTGACGTAGGGAGGAGGAGGTGCATGGGCAAATAAAAAAAACACTCACACCTGTACACTAACACTTCAGAAAAGGAACTCTGAGCTGTCTTCATGGGCCTGACATTAGCTGTGAGTTTGTTGATACTAATGTCAGTGGTTGGACTGAGTCAAAGAATATTGCCTAAAGAGGTTCTGACTGGTGCTGGTGTCAGTACTGAGGATTCATCAACAAAATGTACCCTGCAAGGTACAGCTCGTTTACCTGCATTTTCAATGGATGGTGACTTTGTTATTGGAGGTGTTTTTTCTATGCACTACAAACTGCACACAGTGATTTACAATTACACCACTAAGCCTGAAGCTTTAAGATGCACAGGGAGGTAAGAGGAACAAATGATGGGAAAATATTGCTGCAATGTTCTAACAAAACACACATACATCGTTTTCATCAAAATTTAGGCAGATTTTTGTCCTCAATAATCTGTTGTTCATCAATGATGTGTTTGTGTGTGAAGAGTCTTTTAATGTTTTTTTTTCTATTTTACTTTTTTAATTTATTGTACCTATCAGCACTCACGTGATTGTTTTTGTGCAGCATGAATGTTCGCAATTTGCGTGACTCTCGTGCAATGATCTTTGCCATTGAGGAAATAAACAACAGTACAGAACTGCTGCCAGGCATCAAACTGGGATATCAGATCTACGACTCATGCTCCTCGGTGCCTGGGGCTGTAGATGTTGCTTTTCAACTATCAGAAAATAAGGACCCAGTGTTTTATAAAGGTAGCAATTGTTCCCAGTCTGGTTTGGTAATGGCTGTTGTTGGAGATTCTGGATCATCGCAATCCATTGGCATATCACACATTTTTGGGTCCTTTAACATCTCACAGGTTGGTAGTGTGGCTTTTTTGTGGAGAGTATAGAATATATTTTAGCAAATTAAATAAAAAGAAAAGGCTCACTGTTTTGCAAAAATAAGCATTCTGTTTTTTTAGGTGAGTCATTTTGCCACCTGTGCCTGCCTGTCAGATAAGCAGAAGTACCCAACATTTTTTAGAACAGTCCCCAGTGATCAGTTCCAAGTTGATGCGCTGGTAAAGCTGGTGAAACACTTTGGGTGGACTTGGATTGGTACTGTTTACTCAGACTCAGATTATGGAAATTATGGCATGGCGTCTTTTCTTCCGGCTGCAAAGAAAGAGGGGATCTGTGTGGAGTACTCCGAATCATTCTATCGAACCGACCCACATAGTAAGATCCAGAGAATAGCTGATGTTATCCGCAGGTTTGTACATCATTGAATGTTTTGTGTATTTTATGAGTTCACACTGACCAACTGAACAAAAGTTAAAACTGTTTTTAAATGAAAAATAAGAACAGAGATGAAATTCCCACCTGATCCTTATTTTTTTAGAATCTTTGTCATTAATCACTCATAAATGCAAATAAAACTGTTCAACAGAAGTATACATGTAAGAACAGCACAGTTTTATTTTCCTAGTAAATCATAAAATATAAGACACAAATGCATTATGTTAACTTTAAGTCACACCTTTAAATGTTTTTCCAGGTCAACAGCATTAGTTGTTGTTGCTTTTCTATCCAATGGAGATATGAATGTCCTGTTAGGGGAGCTGGCTCAGCAGCCTTCACCACCTCGTCAGTGGGTAGGAAGCGAGTCCTGGGTAACTGATCAACTCTTGATGGGTTTCAGTTTTGGTGCAGGGTCCATCGGAGTTGGCATTCAGCCATCTGTCATTCCAGGCCTGAGAGACTTCCTGCTGGATCTCTCTGCAAGTGAAGTAGCTGCCTCTTCCCAACTTACTGAGTTCTGGGAGGATGCATTCAACTGTACACTGACTAAAAGTAAGGAAGCTTAAATACTGCTACAAATCTAAAGCAAGGGTTTTCTGCCTTGCCTGTTCACATTATTTAAAATGTACTCACTTAATATTTCAAATGATCCCAAACAAAAATATAAAGAAATTTTTGCAATTCTTAAAATAACTTAATTGACCTAATGTCATGTGAAGTATTATAACAATCAAACAAGAATTTCACAAAATGTGATTGTTGCAATTCAAGTATTTATCCAGAGTTTTATAACATTTTTCTTCAAGCTTTATTAAATGTAAATAAATAGTGTATTTATTTATTTTTACAAATTAAAATAAAAGTAAAATATTGTGTTTCTGTCTTTATATGACTGTAGATGCTTACCTAGACAAGAAAGTGTGTGATGGAACAGAAGACCTAAAATCACTTGTAAGCCCGTACACCGAAACATCTCAACTAAGAACTACTAACATGGTGTACAAGGCTGTTTATGCAATAGCTCATGCCATTCACAACGCAGTGTGTCAGAAAACAAAACTAATTACTCAATGCAACAAACACATCCAACTGGAACCAAAAGATGTCAGTTGAGAAAAAATTATAGTTGAGCAATAAAATCTTATACCAATAACATAATGTTTATCCAGATTACTTTTTTCTTCTTTTTTAACCTTACAGATCCTTAATGAACTAAAGACTGTAAACTTCTCCCACAATGGTTATCCTGTATCATTTGATGCTAATGGAGATCCTGTGGCTTTTTATGAGCTGGTCAACTGGCAGATGAGTGAGAGTGGAGTTATGGAGTTGGTAACAGTAGGATACTATGATGCATCACTGCCAAAAGGCCAGGAGTTACAAATCAACAGGAACATAACCTGGGTGGAGGGTGTAACTAAAGTAAATAGCAAAATGATGACAATTTAGAAAATAAGTATTTATTAAACTGCAACAAGGCAACAGAACATGTAAAAAATATATATAATTGAAGAATAGAGAAATTTTACAATTTTTTGTGCCTCTGTTGAAGGTACCAGTGTCAGTGTGCTCTAGGAGTTGTCCTCTTGGAACTCGAAAAGTGTTGCAGAAAGGAAAGCCCATCTGCTGTTATGACTGTATACCATGTCCTGATGGAGAGATCAGTGTTATAACAGGTAACTTTTTTATTAACTGTTTTCAATGCATATTTGTGTCAGTATTTTTTAAAATGTTCTAAACACCTTTTTTGATTTATGTTTAGATTCTCCTGAATGCTTCTCATGTCCTGGTGAATTCTGGCCTAATGCAGAAAAAAATGCTTGTTTTCCTAAACCTGTAGAGTTTCTGTCTTTTGATGAAGTGTTAGCAAGCATCCTTGCTGCATTTTCTATTATTGGAGCCTGTCTGGCCATAATAACAGCAGTTATTTTCTTTCGTCACAGATCAACTCCAGTTGTTAAAGCCAACAACTCTGAGCTGAGCTTCTTGTTGCTCTTCTCTCTGACTCTGTGTTTCTTATGTTCATTAACTTTCATTGGAGCTCCCTCTGAGTGGTCCTGCATGCTGAGACACACAGCGTTTGGAATAATCTTTGTTCTCTGTATCTCCTGTGTTCTAGCAAAAACTGTAGTGGTTTTAATGGCCTTCAAAGCTACACTTCCTGGTAGTAATGTCATGAAATGGTTTGGGCCTCCACAACAAAGGATGACTGTAGTATTTTTCACATTTATTCAGGTTTTAATTTGTACTGTTTGGTTGTTACTCAGTCCTCCTTTCCCATTGAAAAACCTGAGCACATCCAAGGAGAAGATCATCCTGGAATGTGCATTAGGCTCTGCTGTTGGCTTCTGGGCTGTGCTCGGCTACATTGGCCTGCTGGCTGTTTTTTGCTTTGTGTTAGCTGTTCTAGCTCGGAAACTACCTGATAATTTTAATGAAGCCAAGCTGATAACCTTCAGCATGCTGATATTCTGTGCAGTGTGGATCACCTTCATCCCAGCATATGTCAGCTCTCCTGGAAAATTTACTGTGGCTGTGGAGATATTTGCCATCCTGGCCTCCAGTTTTGGACTGATACTGTGTATATTTGCTCCAAAGTGTTTCATCATAATGTTTCAGCCAGAGAAGAACTCTAAGAAATATTTGTTGAACAAAATTTAATCTTAAATTATCAAAAATATGAAAACAAACAGGAAAAATAACTATGACAACCTCTGCATGGCTGATTAACCTGTTCAGTTTTGGTCCAGTATTTTTGCAAATTTACCTTTAATTATATCAAAAAAGAAATTATTCTTTACCTGAAAAGACTAAAATAAAGTGGACATTTTTTCTGACAGAGTGGCATTTTTTCCTTTAAACATAATAAATAAAATTGAAAGGAAATATTTTTAAGTGTTCGTTTACCATTTTGTGTGTTTGAACCACACTGAGAATGTACCAATGCATGGAAATTGAATGTGAAAGAGTTCATACAACCCACAGAGAGTAGTTCGGTCTGGAGGCACTTTATTGGTCTGCGTTCAGGCCCCATATTTCCAGAAGTCAGTTCACTATAACAGGAACTTCAGAACATGACTCTACCTATTTTATTATGCCATCAGGATGGGGTCCCTAACACACTGCTGAAGCCATGTCCTCACACAATATAATCTGACCTTATGAATAATAACGGTTCTGTTCTGTGTTGAATCTGTGTTCAGGCATAGATCTACATAAAATTCTCAATTTAAGCCAAGGGCATAACTTTGTGAAGGACTGGTGTGGATATGACCCCACCAACTTTGGCCGGACAGGGACAGTCCCCACCAATATTCGCACATCTTCTTTTTCCTTTGCGTGCATCTACATTTCCCGACATTAACTAGCGTGGAAGCAACTGCTGTGTTTACCTTTTTTTTTTTCGTGAAAAATAAATTAAATTTTTTTTGCTGTGCCTGTTTCCTCCATTCCGCCCCCTCCCCGCTCCAGCAGAAGTGCTGCTGCGAGCCTGCGACACCTTTCCCCTACCACTCCCTTCCTTTTCTCTGAAGTACAGACACACACACACACACACTCGCGTGGGGTGGTGGGAGGGGGGGTGGCTAGCTGCCTGCTGTAGACAACGTGCTGGTCAGAGTTACTGGAGCAGTATACTTTATAAAGGAACAAAAATAAGTCAAAATGTAGGACTGGACAGTTATTTTTTTATGAAAAGTTAGCTTGCTGCTAGTTATCTATCAGCTAATGTTAGCAATCACTTACTAATGACATTATCTATTATTGATTTTTTAAAATCAGTTAAACTGTATTTTAATGCTAAGATTGGTCCAGGTCCAGGATGATGTTTATTGTTTCCCTGATTATTTCTCTAATTTTATCTGCTAGCTTCATGATTTACACATTATTTTCTTGACTTTTTAAAGCTGACTGAATTCAGGTGGCAGTAAAAACATAATACTTAATCTATCTGTTGATGTAGGAGCTGGATACAGACAGTCAGAGGCAGCAGGTAGGACAGAGTGTCTCAGGTAGGACAGTGTCTTATGGAAGAGATGAAGTGATGGGCAGGTGAGAAGAAAAAATGAAGTGTTATTGAGTACATTCTAGTCAGCTGTGTGAACTTAATGTAATGAATTACTGATCTAAAGACATAGTCTACAGCATGATTAACAATTTATTTTATTTTGACCAGTATAAAAGTGACAGGCTTATTTAAATTGAACTTTTATTTGTAGGAAGTGGTATAAATTGGTTTTCATAATCGGGATTTTCCTGGTTAAATAAAGGTCAGTAAATAAATCTGTCAATCCATCCATCATTAGCTTTCTAATCAGTTCCAAACATCCACATATCTATCTTGTAAATAAATGTAAAATAGACACCCCTCCAGTGTGTCCTTTACACACATTATAAGAATTGTGTGAGAGGATAAACCAACACATCTGTAGAGCTCCGCCTGTGTGTCTCTGAATGAAACCATGGTTGATTATCAAACTGTATTCTTAGTTAGTTTAAAGGTCTGGAACAATACATGGTTGAATGAAGGTGAACATAATCTCACTTAATATGGTTAGAGTATTATTGCATAACAACAGAAACATTTGGTGTTCAGTTGTTGATGGGTGCAGACAGTTAAATTGAGCACACATTGACTACAAGCTGAGTCTTACTGGTTTGCCACCAAGACTCAGACTGACTCACTGATCTGCCTTGTGCCTCTCTCCATAGAGGATGTGGAAGATGTCTGTCATGTGTATGTGTTTCTCCGGACGGATGTTCAAAACTGCAAATTTCGTTCTGCATTGCATCTTGATGTTGTGTTTGAATGACAATAAACGATTCTTGATATATACAGTATATATA